GAGACCCACTGCCTGATTCTTCCCTTGTCCGATTTTGAGGACAGCAGCTATTGGTGCCGCGAGCTGTCTGGCCGGACGCTGCGCATTGAGTCACCGTGGCAGCGGAGAAAGCGGGCCGCCCACGTGCCGCTCATCTTAGCAGCATTAGTGAAGCAGATTCCCGCGCTCGCCGACACCGACATGGCCCCCGGGCCGACCTTCATCCACCAGCGCTACGTCTGCAATGCCGAAGGCCATTAATGCCGCATACTTTTTGTCATTTTAAAGTTACATGCGATGTTGCAAACTGGGGGTGGGGTGGGGTGGGGGGGGAATAGGGAATCATAAAAAGTGTCCGTGAGACAACGTGTCTTTAAAAAATTAGTTATAGGTATTGATTCTGCAGTTCTGCAGCAATTTGATTAATCATGAGCCTTGCACTGCTACGCGGCGTCTCATCGGGTGATAATAGACCTATTAACTTTGCCGTCCGGGACACTGTGACATTCCGTTGGCCGACTTTCTATCCAGTCAGTGTGACTTTGCTGCCTGTCCACAGCGACACACATCCGGCTTTAAGCACCTGGACCAGACGTGTGTGTGTGTGTGTGTTTCTTTATTGAAGATCATCTCAAACAATCCAGTCAGTTACAAGCCCTGAGCTGCTTAGCATAATGCAAAGATTCTGTGCTGATTACGTCAGAATGGCGCACAGAACCCTGCCTCACATACCCGTTTGACATGGAGAATGGTGTGGAGATTCACGATTATGTTCCGAGGTCTTTAATGTTGATACAAGTATGCAAAGTTTGGATAACGGAACTAGTTAATAAAAACTCATTTTTGTAGAATACACGAAGAAAGTGTAGATATGTATTTCCCTAGAGCCTTACATTTTATCATTTCTGTTGCTTAGTAAGACCTGCTGCACATATTAAATGATTCCTCTTCGTGGTTTAAGTGAATATAGACTTCCTTCCAGACATTTTCCAGCATACAACATTATTTAAAATCCCATTTCCAAAATGAGGACAGATCACCATTAAATGCCTAATATATCTTTCACGTGAAAGAAACACATAACTTGACAGCCTATATAACTAAAAAAAGTCTGCTGTCCCAGGCGCAGGGCAGTTTGGGAGATGAGGCTCTTGACCTGCCAAAGACTGGCTGACAGTTACTATATCTTCGGAATCGCTCCCACTTGGGAGGAATTCACACCTCTAATGGAGACTCGACAGATGTTAATTAATTCCAGCTACTGTATGAGATCACATTCATGGTGGATGGCTGACTGAAGATTGTTATCAGCAGGGGCATTTAACTGCTTGTGGTGCTTATGCCATCACATATTACGGCGAAGTCATAAAGGGCCCAAAAGGGCAAGTCTCCATTCAGTTGCAGTTCAATGGTAGAGATTGGAAACTTTAATATTATTTCTTTATTGGATAAGCAGTTAGGGAAATGGATGGAAGGGTGAATGAGAAGTTCAGAACACAGATAAATCAGGCATTACGTCGTAAATGCAGATCTTACGGTTAATGTGATGCACCTTGAAAAACATGGGCAAGATTTTAACTAGGGGCAGCTATTGCCTATTTGAATCTAAGCTACACTTAGCACTGCAGAGAGCTATAATTCTGAGTGGATTTTAATAGAACCCACCCACAGAGAGGAGGAGAAGACTTTTCTGTCAGGCCCTGGGTAGACATCCTCACAGGACCCCAGTGAAATATCCTATTAGTCTGGATTCTTATATTTGGTTTCCTTGACATGACAGCAATTATTCTTAAATTTACAATAAAGCCCCTGTAACACCATGGCATGCCTCTCTTTTCATTCTAACTACATTTATTTGTGCCCACCCACTCTGGCCTTCAACGACCTCAAAGCTCAATGTCGCAATACAGCACAGCACTTTCCTGTAGCATTCAATGCACCTGCAAAGGTTGTGTCTGACTATAAAAAATGACAGAACACAGACAAGTTAGTTTATAATCGCCTAATTATAAATTAACATGTCATTATATAAACAAATGGCAGCAGACCCCTACTGGGAAAAGGCAGTGTTTCCCAGTCAAATTATGACTAATAATAGAAGGTCCACTGCAATTTTACCTCAGTTGACAGATCCAGTCCCTGTTGTTTAGTTAAAAACTTGATACTAAAAATATTGTGCGCTGTTCTGGTACCCAAAAAAGTTTCATCGTGATAAATTTACTCATCTGTAGAGTATATCCACACTTCCTGCTCAGACTCTTTTCTAAACTTCACCCTGTAAACATTTGGCTTTCATTTAATTCACAAATGCATTTTTGATACCAATGTCTGGCTGCTATAAGCCTGAACCAGTGCTTGTGAAGCTAAGAGACAACTGTACATAATGCATGCAATCATTATGTGGCGTACAAACAACTAGACAAACAAACAATTGCATCTCTATAGGAACCTTTGATTACCTAAAGAGAAAATTATAAATTAGAACAAATAAAAATTGCTTAATTGGGCTAGAGTTTAAAAAGTGTCACTTACCCCAAAAATGTACATAATATGAAATGTAACTAAATATTCAAAATAAATAGCAACTAAATAAGGCCGTTATTCATCTGCGATTTATTTGGCAAAAAAAACCCCCAAACATACTGAAACAAATCAAAGCAATGCGATGTTAACATTTAATGCAATTTTAAATGTTGTCTATAAAAACGGTGTTTGTTCTGTCTACAGGCTGGTGTGAGAAGGCGATTTTTGACTTGCCCAATGAAAATGGTAGGAAGTACCATCAGCAGAGCTGAGAAAGGAGACCAAGACAAGGAGAGCAAAGAGGAATCCATTCTGGCCTTGCTGGGCATAATCGGGACCATCCTCAATTTAATAGTCATCATCTTCGTGTACATCTACACGACACTGTGAAGAACAAAAGAACAAGTCCCGCCGTGGACAGGAGGCCAGTATCTGTGGGTCTTCGCTCCCAACTGAGGCTTTGCTGGGCTGTGTGATGGCTTCTCTCCTTCCTGCCAAAAGCTTTTGGTGGTGAGAACTTCAATCAAACCGCAAGGCTTTTAAACTTCAAGTCTGCTCAACTTTGACTTCCGCCGTCTTCCCAAGATATTGTGTAAGGCTCTCACTAGCACCCTGAAAACATGCATGCATCACTGCATCCTAAGAAACATGAAGAGCTTGCACCTCCCACCTCTGCAGACATCCAGTCTCCACGCCTAAAACGCAGCCATTTAAAAATATGAGTATGATGACTGGTGGGGGAAAAAAAACCTGAAAAGAACAGAACATGCCATTCACCTTCTCATATAGGTACTTTGAAAATATTGTGCAGCATTTATACAAAAACTTTGATATTTTAAAGTTGTCTGTTTAATATGAAAACTACAGAATACTTCATCATGGCTGTGCTTTTTGTCATAGTCAGCGTGGTCCAATCATTAAGTCATTTTTTTTAAAACTATATATTCCTTGATTCCCTGTTTGCTACTCTTTGAATATGTGTGTGTAATTTCTTAAAGCAATTCTAGCATTTAAAAAAAATGTGTCTGGCAGTGACTAATTATTTATAGCTGTTGTTTAATTAATATTGTATTGCCTTAAAACAGATCAAATCTGACATCATTGTATTGTACATAACTCACGAAAAAATCCATTCAGCAAATGTTTGATAATGCAATAATATAAATAAATATGTATCACAAACGCATACCATATAGTTTTTCATATAGAGGCTAAATATTAATGGTAGTTTGTGACATACTGAAAACTGACTAAACTAATCCATCATTTTGAAATTAATAAATACTTCTAATAATTTTCATAATTTTCTGAAGCACAGTACAGAAGGCATGCTTACTCTTTTCGCGCATGTGAGAATCTAACATGTCTGTTAAAAGTGCCTGTCCATAATAATCCTCTGGATATTTTTTTCCTTGCTTGTTTTGTTGACAGCTCAATGGATTATAGAATATTTCAGATGCACAGAGCTGTGATAAGAATCCACAAGGATTTTTCGGCATGAATAGAGGGAACTGAGGCCGTGCTTTCATTACATTCGTAATTAGCACAGCAAATGCCTGTGTTCTCAGTAAGGTGCCTCGCCTGCACTGAGCAAACTGTGTCACCGAGGTGATTTTCAGGCCTCCTGATGACAATTTGAATCATTTCCACATGCAGTTTATGAAACATATCTCCCTGGAAATGAGACAGTCTTCCACCGTACTGTCATTCTATCTGAAACACCGCAAGAATAGAGATGTACAAGCAATTCACAGGGGCAAAATAATGTAGACACTGCAATATAAAGCAAGCAAACAAACAAATTAGGAAACACTGGGTTACAAACTAAATTTAAATAATTACTTTGGAAGATCGTGTGAAGAGTGACTACCAACAACTGAACTATATTTGAGCTCTGTCATGTATATTAAATTTGAATTTAAATTTTGCACAATTTATTTTTTATAGCTCTCTACCCAGTACAATCACCCCAGGATACTTATCAAGCTTTTTAACAACATTAATTCAATTAAAATTTGAACATGATTAGAACATTCGGACATCAGTCGCCAAACTATTCTGGGCATGGCATGAAGTCATAAAAGGCTTGCGTGAGCAACAATTGTCAGTAAAGAAGTGAACATCTGGTCAGGTCCTATGCGAGGCCAGGCAACCATGCAGAGGGACAAGACACTGGTGTCCCATCAATCAACTTTACATTAAGTGTAGTTTACTGCTCTTCAGAATTAAAAAATCTACGGAGTTTGCTCTCTATCACTGAAAAGAGCCAGACCATGAACACAATACCTTAACACCTGTGGTTTTGCTTTGCAGTTGAGGGTGATGTTGAGAGTCTGCAGCGATGACACAGATGTTGACTACGGCCGAGCATGTGATCTCTTCCTCTTTACCTCATTAATAATGCATTAGGAAGCAAAACAAGCTGGTGGAAATTTTCTCCCCAAGAATACAGGAGGGGAAATGTTAATACAAATAAATCAAGCACAATATTTCTCATTATTTGATTGTTTAATTTTATTGACAAAAAAAGAAAGAAAGAAAAAAAAAAACATTTTACTCAGAGCTACAGAGGGAGTATCCTTGGTTAAATCTGTTGCTTGATACAATAACTTTAATATAAAATTCTCCCACACTGTCTTTATAATGTAATGTTCTCTTACACTATCATTTTAATATAACGTTCTTCCACACTATCTCGACATTTTTAATATAACGTTCTCCTGCACTGACTATCCTTTTAATAAAATGTTCTCCCACACTCTATCCATTTAGTGTAACAGTTTGCCATGCCATACTAAATACAAATGTCATTTTATACAGTTCATGTTCTGATTATAACTGTGACAATAAATACTGTATAGCGTGTCATTTTTGGGGGGTGGAACTGAAGTCTGTGTAATAAAGGTGAGGGTTGCAATTTTCTTGCTTGAACTTTATGCTGTTGCTTGCAAAATATGCATTACTTTTCAATAAGGAGTTACTGTACACTAATGTTGTGAAGTTCTTCATTTATAATAGGCACTCTTTCTAGCTTTTCCATTTTTTTTATGAATGCCTCATTCTTATCTAAAAATTGGAATTTCTGTTGAAACTACATTAAAAATCCAAAACCATAAAGTTGTGGCTCTGAGTTTATACTTATAAAACAGAGAATACAAATCAAAGAGAATATGTCAACAGAGGAAATCAATCTTTTAAACCTCATTCATTCTCTAACCCGGGTCCTCCATAGTTCCGCATGCAATAAGACAGAAACCCTTTTCAACTGCCACGTATTTTAATGGAAATGCATAACAAAACTTGAAAGTAAAAAAATATATAATTCCCTGATATAATTTTTATCACATAAATCAGAACACTGTGAATGTAAGACTCATTTATGACAGAATCGAAATATTGCCAGAATGTTTTGGGTAAACACAGACGTCAATGTTTTTACAAACAGCCACACGTTTTATGAATGTGTAGTGGAGCGTGTAAGCAAGGCTGCATGGATGGTGTCTCTCGCTTCAGTTCACAAGGGCCCGGGAGTCGGCAGAGAGGCCCCGTGCTACCTGTGAACTGAGATCATTGTTCGACTCAATCGTTCTTACCCACTGAGGTAGAAAACATGCTAAATACACCTCGGAGGCCACGCGGAGGAGGAAAAGGTCACATGTCGAAAATGCTGAATTAATGACGCCGTCTTCTCTATTCAGTGAAGAAGAGCAGTTTCGACATACGACACTCGGGTAACCCTGCAACACTGCTTATGATTATGTAACTGACTAACGAAGGTCAGGCGTTCTGTCTTAGGTTGGGGGGGCCTCTACATTAGGGGCTGGTGGGGCCTGGCCCCTCCAGATATCTGATGGAGCAGTACATGACATCATCAATAATTTAGTGTAACAAGTAATATACATGTATTTTCTTCGTAACTAACGAAGTTGCGCATTGATTGTGCGTAGTTTCATCAGCAATTCGGATGCTGACCACACAAAGTTTATTGTGCCCCCCAGACTTTTTGTACTAGTGACGCCACTGGTCCTGGGTGTGGCCTGTGCACCACGGGACAGGCCGCAGGCCTACCGTGACCCTTCGTGGAATAAGGGAAGGATGGAGAGTGGACGGATTTTGTGATTTAGTTGGTAGTTTAAAAAGGGCTAAAATGATCATATCTGGCTATTTCTGTAACACTGAAGATAAATCAGGGGGAAACACCCTGTCCTGGGAGACCTGCCTGTGTCGTGCTCTGTGCCATCTCAGATGAGCTTACTCTGTCCTGGTAATGGATAAATAGTTGTGAAAGGTGGATGGATGGAACCATGACAAGGTCTGTGAACAGTGCAAGTTTTAATCCTGCTACGCACACGTCATCCCTTCCAAAGGAGACTGAACCCTGACTGATTGGCACAATCCATGCTACATCTTGTTAGTTAAAACAAGTTGCATGGTTATTACCCTGTCGGGAGATGAGCATTGCCACTGACTAAACCCTGTGTTTACCCCAAACCACAATCTGGATTTATGTCAGCTCACCGCAATCCAGCATTGGCTAATGAATTCAGCAGCCTTCAGAGAGGCCTCTACCAAAGCCACACATTATACAACCCCTGACTTTGCTCTTCTAGAAGCTAAGAGTTGCTGTCACATTTCTCCACGGAGTGCAGCAGATTGTGCTGTATTTTAGACCCTTGTGCCATTAAAGTGATCGTAAACACACTCAGCTGTTTCAAAAAAGCTTACCGGACGTGTACGTTTTTCCTCAAGTCGGCAGCAAGACACAAGTCACGTGCAATTAAACCTGATGCCTAAGCTAATGACAGGCCGGCCGCCTTAATTTCCTTACGCAAGCATGGCGGTGGTGTAGTATTCGTAGAACTGTCTAGCCTGTTATTTTCCAGGCTGTACGGTAAACATCACTGGATTAGCTGACAGTTCAGGTCTGAACAGTCTGGAAAAGTTTAAGAAAATATTATATGACTCCATAGTCAATTATGCAACATAAGAAATTCGGGGGGGGGGGGGACATTTCAGAAAATTATTGGCCATTAAGTTGACGTGGGGGGGGTCTCACACCCGTATGTTTTGTATCATGTGTAATTATAATTAAAGCCCTTTGAAACTCTTCGGCTATAAAAACCTTCTTATGAAAATCCATGGCCATTGGGGACCCTTGTTATTTCATAATGTGGGCATGCAGTATTTCTAACCTCCAAACATTAAGAAATAATAATACTTGCTTTCAAACTGTCAATTAAAAATACACCATTTCACCACTTATTTAAATACAAAACTGGAATGGGAGAATGTGAATACAGAATTCTGGGAAACGGGGACAAAACCAGAGCCGCCTCCTCATGGGAACCAGAGGCAAAGTCACACCTGAATCCGGAGTGAGAGTAGCTGGGGCCTCATTCCTAAGCCATAACCAGCACATGTGTATAAATGGGTTTGCTGGGAGCTGGGGGTGATTTGGTTTGACAGAATGTTCTGCTGCTTTGGCCTAAATGCAGAAGAGTTTCCTGTCAGGCACTAGAGAGAATATGAACACTGTCCAGTATTAAACAATACTGAAACCAACTATGCTGGTCCATGTTTAAGTCATACTGTGACTTTTTAAACACAGAACTTTACTGGAAAGTGTACTTTCCCAAGCATACTTTTAAAAGCAACTGGAAAAAAATGCTAAAAATTGGGAGTATTTATACTTATCTTTATCTAAGATTTATCTTTTCAAATTTCAAATTGAATTTAAATAAATATTTTATAGCTAGTATCAGATTCATGAATATTTGAATCTAGTATCAAACAAGGTTATTAATAAACGCCAGCTTAATCATACCTAAAGAATAATAGGCAGTATTGTAGCTTCAGCAGACCACACATCTGCTTGTAACTCTGTTGTAATTGTAGTTAGGCTTATATTTAAAACAAATAAATGAAAACCGGGCACTCCATGAACGTATGACGTCATTAAATGATTAAAGTGTTTAAATGATGAAATCATAATGTAAAAACGCACCTTCAAACACTGCACAGATACCCTTCAGGAGCTTATACCCTCCTCTGTTTACTTCTGCATTAATATTGAACAAAGGCTATGAAATAAATATCACATTTATGAAAGATTTAGCTTAATTTCGTTAAATAAAACATTTACCAGTCTGTTACTTTCTATAACTTCAATGATAAGCTATACAATGAAGTCACATTGGTTGTGTGACCTAACTAAAACGTATTTACGCTTACTCCGTATCCGTCCCAGCCACGGACGGTTTTAAATCCCTTACCGGTTCCATGTTTGCACGTCGCCCTCGGCTTACCCCGAGTTTCCTCTGGATATGTGTGCTTTCTCCCCCATTCCGGGGAAATGCAGCTCATGCAAATAGGCGACTCAAATCCGGTGTTAAAGTTCGACTGTGTGAATAAATCTTCATCTGTGTGGGCAACCCAACTTACACCCTATGTTTAGGTTCCAGTTCTCTAATTAGATAAGCAGTTGCTGGAAACGGATGAGCGATTAGATGAGTTATTAAGACACTTTGTCAAATTTATGATTTATCAGTCACCTTTAAACTATTTTAATTAAAACCACTGACGTCAATACCACAGCCTCTCCACAGCTGGAAACGGGACTATTTGCTTGGACTGTAGTACCCCCTAGTGGTGTGTATAAAACACTCACGACTTATTACGTCACAACACAGCTCCTACATTCCTATCAACTTATATATACACATATTTTTTTAATTATAACACATAGCCTCATCATATGATTATATTCTAAAAATGATCTAAAATGTATTGAAATGAAATTGAACGAATGAAAATTTATAATCTTTTTTTATGTTCCATATCAATAGCAAATTCATTGGTACATAAATGGTTTGAAGTAAGAATTGTTGTTGTTACTATACACTGGCTCAACATTATGTGCATTGATAATGAAACGAAAAAACATAAGTGTCAGTGACTTTTTCAGTTTACCCACCCAAAAGTTACATTTTTGTATACCAATATAATATCATATTTTCCATTTAATGACTTTGTTTACCAGTCACAGCTAGAGCAGTGGTCCTTTTAAGGGTTTGTTAAATACCATGCTGACTCCATGATTAGGGAGAGTGCAACTAGTGCTTAGGAGAATCCCCAGCTCTATAAAATACCACCTTGCAATCCAAGCCATTAAAGAAAAAGACTAGACAGCCTGTCAAGAGTCTTTGCAGCCAGCAGGCCATGCACAGTGCATACCGTTTGCTCCATGCCATTTGATAGACAGCTGTTCTGTTACATTGTCATACTGACCTTAAGTTCAGCTATTTGCAATTAGTAATTAGAGTAATCAAATATTCAGCTTTTGCCATCTTATATCAGGTTACTGTACCTTCTAGTGAAGCAACTAAAAACAAAAAAGTAAAATGAGAAACCAGTGGGCTAAACCACTTATTTAGGTTAGTCAAGAGTGAGGAACAGACATTTAAAAAAGAATACACCTTGTTCACTATGATATAAAACTGTAATTGTTAAATTTGTGCATTTTGGGTAATCAAATATATCACACTGAAATGACAAAATGCTATTTAACATGGTTTTCACTTTCTAAGTATTTGTTTATATGATATATAGATATAATTAATTGTAGTAAGTACAATGGTTGTTACAGACATGGTTCCAATCCAATCGCCATGTAACAGTTTCTACCAGTAAAGATGATCATTCTCGCTAATAAAAAATGAATTATAGATATCTAGAATTCATATTCTTAATAGTAAAAACTGATTTTTTTAGTTAGTTACAATGTTATTTTCGCTAGTAAAAATCAAGATATAACAACTATGCCTTACACTATTAAAAGACAATTTGCCATGCCTTATCAGGCATTTTATTGTTTGTGGCGGGTGATGAAACGGTCCTTACGGATGACACTGCAGCTGTGACCCACTGGGCTGGCTGCTTTGAGCAGCTGATCCTCAGGCTAGGATGAGGGAAATCTCTGGGTCCACAGTTCATGAGACTGAATCTCCGCTTAGCTGTGAACCACCCAATCTCACTGAGATTGCACAAGTCATTTTTTCCTGTTAGAGACTTCCTATCTTTGATTTTCTTTGGGGCTGCTAAAGTAGGATTACATCATG